TAAAGTAAAATGAATGAATGACCTTGGTTTTACTGTTACAAAACCTTTCATTAATTATTAACATGTTTTTATAATTAATGTATATAACAATACAAAAAAAATGTAATGTAAATGCGAAAATGCATAAATGCATAAATGCAAAAATAAGAATGCAAACTGTGTAATGCAAAGATGAAAAAGTAAGAATACAAAATGGAAATGCAAAGATACAAAATGTAAATGCATGTATGAAAAGGTGTTACTCAAGAGTGATCATCTTAGAACAGATTTCATTGAACACAAAAGCTTCAGTACATCAAACAAAACTTTTACATGTAGGGAATAGCTTTCACTCCTAATTTCTCTATTTCACTTAAAAGCCAAACTAATTTCCACTCATACTCAGGTGTGGAATTATCTATCTGCTTTAATTCTCTCGTGAAGCCAGCTAAGTCCACCAGTTTATGAGCCACATTGTTTGTTTGAACAACAGCTTCATTCATGATATTGTCTTTTTCCTTTATCCTTCGTGTCGATTCTCGGAGTTGTAAACAATGTTGTTCATTTTTTCTTGTGAGAAAATCTTTATGTTCAAGAAGTTGTCGTACAAGATTCCCATAATCATCTAAGCATTTCTTAAATGTCTTGTTCTTGTCTATATTAGCTTTTAATTCAGTATCAATCTCATGCTGATAGATCTGATATGATGCTTCCATGTTAGTCATAGCACTATTCAACCTTTGATTTTCGACTTGACATCTTTTCAATTCACTGACAGACGTATTGCGTATTTCTTCTGCAACTCGTAAATCATGATAAAACTTCTTTGCTCGACCTTCATGTATGTTACAATTCTTTTTCAGTTTGGTGACCCCTTTGATCCACTCTTCTGGGGTGTTTCCTATGCCAGCATTTTGAAAGGTTTGACTGACCTTCTGGAAATCTTCCTGCATGGTTTTCATTTTGGTGCTCAATTCTTTGTTTTGATCCTTCAAATGACGTATTTGAACTTCGAATCTAAGCAAATATTTTTCCTTTTGGACGCACCTACTGATGCTCTTACCTTTGAATACATTTGGTGTTGATCTGGCAGGATCTTCAGTTACCAAACTAGGTTGATCATTTACCATAAATTGTAAGGTTCCCTGATTCAAAAGACTTTGAACTCGACGTTCGAAAGCAAGGCAATTCTCAATGGTATGTCCTTGAGCTCCGGCATGATATTCACAATAAGCGTTGATGTCATATCAATTTGGATACGGAGGTTGGAATGGTTTTATGTAGTAGGGAGCCACTTCTCGTGCTTCAAGTAGCTTCTCGTATAACTCTTTATATGATATAGGGATAGCATCAAAATGAGAAACACCTTTTGTTTTGGATTGAACCTGAGTTTTAGATGTCGGGAGCAGACTAAACTTCAACGATTTCAGATTACATGATTTCTTCTCATCTTTATGAGCTTTTATAGTGGTCACCATTTCTTTGGTATCTCCAGACGATTTTTGAATACGAATGATGATTGTCTGTAATTTCTCAAATTGGTTAGGATCAGAAGTCCCTTGCATATCTGAAATTGCAGGATTATCTTCATTAAGCTTTCTCTCTTTCTGTGCAGGAATCTCTTCTCTTTTGGCCAAAACAGATATTCTATCCATCATCTTGGACATCTGCTCTCTTATTTCTCGTATCTCCTTTTGCTCTTTAATGGGCATACGATCTTTGGGTGCATAGCTCTTCTCTATCTTCAGAGTTCCCTCAGGATGTCTTTTCTTGGCCGCATCATATTTTGTTTGATCATAGAACCTTTTGTCCATTTATGATTTCTTTCCAATATGATGAACAGTCTTTCAAGTAAACACCTTCTGGTTATACCATGATAATGCAATGTAAACAAAAGAAATCAATATGAACAGATTAGAGCAATGTAACATGCTTGAAAAAAATAAGAAAAAATAGAATAGTTAGTACCAACTAATGGAAAAAAATCTATCTATCAAGGTATAAATCTTAACCTCATGCTTTCTAGTTCCATGCTTTGTTTGGAAAAAATTAACCTAACCGCATGATTTCTAGTTCACATGCATTTATTCAGGAAAAAGAAAAGGAAATAAAATAAATTAAAAGCTAGAGATTATTTCTCCTTTGTGTACACCTATGAACAGAGGTTCAGTACTGTCTTAGATCAGGTGAATTTCTAGGGTTTATTATATGCAGAGTTTCAGTTCTAGGAGTAAAGGTACTCGAATTGTCCTTGTTAGTGCTCCCTTAGGCTGCCAACCCTCAATCCTAGTCCACTATAGACTAAAATCGATTGAGTTCAATTCGAGGGGATACATTTCTCTATGACTAACACGGAGAATAAATTCTCACGAAGACGTAGAGTATATGAACCCCAAAAGTTACTTACTAGGTCTGACACGGAGAATAAATTCTCACGAAGATGTCGCTTTCACTCCCACTTAAAAGGGACAAACTCAATTATAGAGCTTTATGTTATGCAAGTGTTGTGTGTGAGGAGAAATGTTAAAACCTCTAACAAACAAATAAAATAATTAATACCTGAATAAAAAAAATATTAATATAAAAATAATAAGTAATAAAAAAATTGAAAGAAAAGAATTAAAAATTAAATAAATGAAGTTTTAATTTCTAATTAATAGAGACAATTTATAATTAATTTTAAAGTTTGACAGATCCCCAGCGGAGTCGCCAAGCTGTCGTAACCGATTTTCGTCCGGGCATGAATTTTTTTACTTGGTGGGAAAAGTGATGTGAATAAATGGTTTTTAAAATAATTTGGGAGTCGTCATTAGCCTTTTGGGTCAGGTAGGTCGAATACCTAAAAATTATCTTTTAAAAGAGTTTTTAAGAAAACATCAGTTAAAAGATGAACTGATCTGCGTTTATAACCAAAAATTCTTTCTTTTTAATAATAAAAAGGGATTCGTGGTCGGTTACGTTTAGGGAAGGATTAGCACCCCTACAACGCCCAAAATTGGTACTTTTTAATTATACATTGTCTCTAATATTAGAAATTTAAGAATTCAAATATATTTAATTCATAATTATGTTATTTCAAATAATTTTAAGAAAATATATTAATATGTATAAATAAGATATTTATTTATTTAGAAATATCATAAAAGAGCTTCTAGGTGCTTTAAGACAGCTCTTTTCTTCAATATTAAAAAATAAATAAATACCTAAATCATTTTCTTAATAAAATAAAATTAAACATATATAGTTCATAAATAGGATTTTTATTTTATAGAAAACAAAGAAAATAAATAAATAAATATTATTTATATTATATTTATATGACTAAGATAATAATAAAATAATAATTAAAGTAATCATTTAAACATATTGGATTTGAAATGATAATAATACAAATTAAATTGTAATTAAATAGGGACTAAAATATATTAAAATAAATAAAAATATTAAAAATTAAAATTTACAGCCCTTATTTATAATATTATAAAAATATAATTACTAATGATGTAATTAACCCTAATTATTAATAGGTGATTAAAATAATGATAATTAAAATTAAAGGTTCTAAATCGAATGATAAAAAGATCTAAGTACTAATAATATAATTTAGCCTTATTTAATTAATTCAGGTTAAAATGATATTTACTAAACTGTAAAGGACTAAATTAGGTATTTACCCTAAATAAATATATATGCAGATAAGGACTAAAATAAAATAAAATAAAATGTAAAGACTAAATTTTAAATAATTAGAAGTTGATTGTAGTGACTAATTTGTAAATAATACAAACTCGAAGTGACCGCGGACGAGGTTTTCCCGTGAAGGAAATTACGCACATACCCTCATCAAAACGGTGTCGTTTTGTTGAGGGTATATAAACCCTATAACCGGCCCCTAAGGGCCAAAGCTTCTCATTTGTCTCTTTCCTTTCTCTCTCTAAAATGAGAGAACCAGAGTTCTCTCTGGCTTATCTCTAGTTTCCCTCGCCGGAGGGAAACCGGCAGCCATAGGCCACCGTACTCCGGTGCCGATCACTGTCGTCGGTCACCGTGAACGGTGGCCGGAATTTACAAAATACCCCTAAAGCGTAGATCTAAACGTCCTAAGGTCCGATCTAAGGTTATTTTAACCTAAAACCCCATAATATATCATAAATCTACGATTTTCACCTTCGGCGTTTTGATTTTCCGGCGACATTTAGGGCTCTCCGATGATAGAGTAAGTTCCTCTCTTCTCTTCTCTTTTATTTTTTTTACTGGTTTGTTGTTGTTGATTGGGATCGTTGGTAGCTTTCTGTTTTCCTCGGTTTCTTCCTCTCTATTTGGTTTCTGGTCTCCGTTGCTTGCTGTTCGGGCTTTCTCCTTTTTTTTTGCTCTCTGTCTCTTTTTTTTGTTTTGCAGGATCCGGTGGCTTTTATAGCCACCACCGAGCCATGCTCGGACCGGACTAGAGGGGGAAGTTCGGTGAGTCACCGAGCTATGTGGTGACTCACCCCATAGCCGTGACATGTGGGGAGCAGCTGGCCTTCTGGAGACTTCTGGCGAGGGCAGCGGCAGCTGGAACGTCTGGAAGCAACGGCGGCTGCCACGTGGTTGTTCTGGAATCTTGGAGGCGGCTGGGGATCACTGGAAGTAGCGGCTGGGAGCTAGGGTTTGAAAACCCTAGTTGAAACCCCAAATGTTTTGGGTTTCTGGTTGGTCTGGGCCGGTTCTATTTTGTTTGTAACTGGGCCGGTCCAGTTTTGTTTGTAACTGTTTGTAAATAATAATTATAATATAATAATAATATTTAATAATAATAATAATTTTAATAATAATAATAAAAACAAAAAATGGAAAAAAAAATTAGTGTTTACAAGTGGCATGTACTGGGAAGCATTGCTGGGTTTCTTGTGACGATATTCTCACCGGTGAAACTAACTCGAATTCGTTTTCACAGGTGAGTTTCTACTAATGACAAGTGATACACCTAAGATGGATGACATACACTTAAAGCTCAAGAGTGTTATTGTTTTTCAATTGCCAGTGTCCAGAGGAATGGATATTTCAGTTTGCATCAGGATTCAAGGTAATATGATCTGCTACCACGCCTTTAATATCAAGTCCATCGATATATTCGAGCTATTCGATGTACATGCTTCCATGTGCACATCGTATGCACGTTAGCATGTCTTCGATTGGTGCTAGATGATAAAGTTGATTATTTCCGATGCTACTGCAGAGTATTGTGCTGGTACCTGTGCTTCCACATGGAGTTCTTCAACTTGGTTCACCGGAGATGGTATGTATTTGGTCTAAATTTTTCTTATGGATTATAGTAGAATTGCAGATGTTTTGTGAAAATGCAGTATCCATACCAACAGTCGGTGCATCAATTAATTGTGCCTAGTAATGGATCTTATGTTCTTCCGTTTATATCTCCACACATCAACAGGTCAATGAAGATTTGTCCATTCTTGCATATATCAAAGATAGATTTGCCTACATTCATGCACACTTTCCTCCACCGTTGCTAATGTCAAGATTTTCGGAGAAGTTAGAAGTGTCTGAAGATTCAAATGCTGTTGACAGTGTCGAGCTCGATAAATTGTTTAGTATTCAGAATGCATTTAAGGTGCCTGGAATGGATCTGCCTGAAATTCTTGAAAGTGAAATAAAAAATAATAGTCTCCCACCAGTTAGCCTCAGTGTAGTGTCATCACCACTAAGCCAATCTCTAAGTTCCAGCCAGTTAGCAACGCAGGAGACCATACTATATGGCTTGTCTCGTCTTAAGGATGAATCGCATGTGTTTCCTCCGGTACCTCCTTTTGGAAACTACTATGCTGATGATGCTGGTTTCCTTAGCTTCCCCGAAGATTGCGAATTGCACAAAGCACTTGGACCGGCTTTTGGAAGAGAGAGCAACGAGTACTTGTGGGAGTCGTCTCTTGTAAGTGAGAAGGTATTGAGTGATCTCTTTGATGGAAATGAATCCCTCTTGTCTGGTAAAGTAGGTGATGCAGAGTATTTGTTGCAAGCTGTGGTAGGCCAAGTATACGATATCGCTCATTTATCCGATCATATCATGACATCTACCAGACAACTTGCTTCTCGACCTCGGAGTGTAAAAGACAATACCACTCCATCGAGGAAACTTACATCTCCGGCATATGTTGGTGGAGTCGATTCTAGTCCTAAAAAGACAGCCTCTTCCGAGAGTACAATAAGCATGTTAACTGATAATGAGAAACCAGAAAAAGGTTGCGATTACACACGTTCCAGGAAAGGACAAAAGCAGTCCAGCGTATCTAAAAGAAAGGCTAGAGCTGGTGATAAGCCACGGACGAGGCCAAGGGATAGACAGTTGATCCATGATCGGCTTAAGGAGCTGCGAGAACTTGTCCCGAATGGTGCTAAGGTCAGTACTTCCTCAAATGAGTATCTGCTCGCCCTTCTAATATATTGCTCCCAATATTTCATCAAAATATAACCAATATACTTGTTGTACAAGTTCAGTATAGCATCGATGCTCTCTTGGATCAAACTGTTAACCACATGCTGTATTTGAGAAGTGTGACGAACCGAGCTGAGAAATTGAGGCAATGGGTGCACGGAGAGGTATGTGAAGACCATATCATGTTAGAAAGATGTGTTTCTGCTCTGACTTGAGGCATTCAAAACTTCAAATCTGCAGGTGACTGCTCGGAAAAATGTGAGGTCATCCGAAATGAAAAATGGTTACCAAAAAAACCAAACGAGCTGTGGTTTCGAGATTCGAGATGAACTGAAATTATGTCCCATTGTTGTGGAAGATCTTGCACAGCAAGGCCACTTGCTCATAGAGGTTCATTCTCCGTAACATAACAAGAGATTACATGTTATGTTAGATATCTGATTAACAGTCTGCATTCGTTGCAGATGCTTTGCGACGAGCATGGTCTGTTTCTAGAGATTGCTCAGGTGATCCGAAGTTTTAATTTAACGATCCTGAAAGGTGTGATGGAGAGATCATGGAACAATACATGGGCGCATTTCATTGTCGAGGTATGCAATAGCTTTTCGAATTCCGAGTATGTGTCGAGGCCATATCGGTATTTACAGTATCACGTTTCTGATAATTAATTAACACTGTGTGGCAGGCTTCTAAGGATTTCAATAGACTGCATATTTTCTGGCCCCTGATGCAGCTTTTACAGCGTCAAAGGAATGGTATTCGGCACAAGGCTTGTATATAACAAAAACATACATTGAGATATTCAGGATTTTATGTTAGCCGCCTCCCTTCGGACTTATTTGTCCGCACGACTTCCACTCTTAACAAGTTTTGAGACAGTGTTGTTCCTTTGCCCACTTGCATAACCCGAAATGACACTACCCACAACTGAACTTGTGTTGATTGTTGGGTGAAAAACCGTTGAAATTTGTTTGTACGGTTATCAATTAAGTTGGGCTGTTATCTAATCGTTTGAAATCAGTTAGGCCTTTCTTGGTTAGTTACATATCAGACCATATATAGCAGGCCATGTGTTGTGCTTGAGATACACTTGGGTTCATTACTTGACCCAATTTTAATAAAAGTTTCGCCTTCTGTCTCTATGTTGTTTTGCACTAGCCCTACCTGTTCCCCATTCTTCACTTTATTTTGCTGCAACTTCCATGTCTCTAATGTTGTATATAGTCAAGAATTGATATATAATATTATATTATGGATATAAAGTTTAATAAAATTATATTAAAATATAAAAGTATCATAAATAGTTTTATTTTTTGAATTGAACTTACCATTTGAGGAAATAATGATGGTAAGCAGTTGGTTTTGATTTAAAGTTTGATTTCACATAGTAAGCACTCAATGGATGGACCAAACGAACGCTGGAAATGAAATTTCTTTTCTGCCCGCAAACCCCAAAGTGTCATCAAATAACAAAGTCGGAGCCTTCCAACGTAAGGTTGTGCCCTCAAATTCAGTAACATGTAGAAAATTGTCCGTACGTAACATATACATATATTTAATATGAAGATAAATTTGTTTTTGATCGGATTGTGGAGTGGGGTAGAGAGTGAAGAAACACGGAAATTTGTTTGATTTGGCTGACTCAGCTAAACCAATCCCAAATTCCCTGCTACCAAAGGCAATGTCAAAGAGAAACATAATAAGAAATAACCATCCAACTCAGTTGGTAGAGCAGAAGGTTTTTAACTTTAGGGTCGTGGGATCGAGTTTTATGGAAAACATTTTATAATTCGGAGGTCTCCTATGAAAATTACTCTCAACCTGATTTGGGGGTCAGCTAACTCTTTATGAGATATTATATTTATTTTTCTTATCATGTCCCAGACCCACTTAAAAAAATCCTCCATGGCAATCGATTAAAACACAGATTTAATTTAATTATATATAAATATATATTTAAAAAATATATTTGATGAGCTGTAAATAAATCAGATAACGGTACAAAGTTAAAAAGAATTCCTCTTTTATAGTTTGGTTAACTGAGCGAGTAAATAGAAGCTCGAGGATCTCGGTCATGCCGTGGCTGTGGTTTCTCGTTTGAGTAAGAAATGCATCGATGAAGAACTTAACCGGTTCGAAATCGCTTACCAGAAAATGACACAGAGAGTTATGGAAATCGGAAATTTTGATTTTAGCTCCAGAAACGTTGGGAAAACCATTAAAAAGATGGAGAAATACGCGAACGCGACGTCTGCTCTATACAAATCGTTGGTAGCCCTCAACGAATTAGAAGCGTCGGAGAAGAAAATGCAGAAATGGAGGATCAAGAAAGATTACTTTAACCAGGAAATCACTTTTCAGAGAAAACAAGTTGTACATTTCAAACAGGTTTCCCTTTGGAGCCAAACATTTGATACAACTGTGGGATTAATGTCTCGAATCGTCTTTGTGGTTTACTCCAGAATCTGCACCATTTTTGGACACTTCGTTCCGAGTCTTCCTTGCTTTTATATTCCCAGAAGAAAAGCTTTAAACATGAAGGTTTATCCAGAGGCCAATTATTGCCTTCTTGTGGAGAAAGCAAGTATATGAAACAAGCCTCGAAATCGAGTCCAATCATGAAAGCTTCGAAGACCAAACCAAGATCACCTCAAGTTAACGCCTTGGGTTTCCAGATTCCAGTAATAAGAAACAAAAGGCTGATGCAATCGGCTCCAGCAAACACCGTGGGAGCAGCGGGGCTTGCCTTTCGTTATGCGAACCTAATCATCATGGCAGAGAGTTGTTTCCACACGACAACAAGCATCGGCAAGGAAGCACGAGAGAACATGTTCGAGATGTTGCCGATAAGGCTGAAACAAGCTTTGAGAAGAAAGCTGAAAGGGCAATGGAGCAAGGAGAGCGACGGGGGACAAGGTTTGGCACAAGGGTGGAAAGAGGCGTTGGAGGAGATAATCGGGTGGTTGGCACCGGTGGCACATGATACGTTGCGATGGCAGCAAGAGAGAGACTTGGGGAAACAAAGACTGAACGCGAAGCCGACGGTAACCCCTAGATCTGGTCTATGCGTTTCGACTAAGTCTAGTGGATCACATTCATGATTCTTAAAGACATTTTTTCGAAACCGTTATTCTATCAACGTAAAATCATATTTATAAATGATATTTATGAAATTATAATAAATTACACTATTAAAATAACCAACTCATAATTACGAGAAAAATAACAAGTTAATTAAAACATGTCTTTCAAAATCTAAATTACAATAAACCAATATAAATTAGCAAAAGGAGTACTCATTATAAAATCCAATACTTTTAAAATAAGGCTCATGTTACCATAATAGAGTCAACTTAAAATATAAAATATTACAATACGATATACTTCAAGATATATGTTGATCCTCCAAGTGCTTGATCCGAGTATCTAACCAAAAGTATCTGAAAGGGGAAAATATTTTCGAAAAGTGAGCTAGGCTCAGTGTGTCCCAATAGTACAATAAAATCATTGTAGGTACAGTAATTGAGTAATAGTTCAGAAATTCATCATCAAACCATAATGAAGTTTAACTTTTGAAACTCGTAATTTAAAATCCTTCTCCTGTACACCATCCGCAATTCTCCAGAACTGCGTGCTTACCTTAAGCACACAGCAGAAAGAAAGTCAACCTAAAGATAGGCTTTGGGGCCTGTATCCTTAAGTCCGTAAGTCCGTAGGGCTTACCCTAAGCACACAACAAAGGGAGCCAACCTAATGAAGCATCTTGAGGCCCGTGAGCCTACCCAAGAGTCACATTAGGTCTATAAAGTTTACCAGCTTGATCAAAGTTGTACTTCCGTAATGCAATCCAACCCAAAAATCAGTATTTTAAAAATACTATTTATGCAGTAAGCATAATTTCCATAATTCCATAATCAATATTATCATATACCAATGAAAACCAATAATCATATATCAGTCATATTCCATAAATCATCACCAGTAAATAGGTGGATTAATAAAACATTAAACCATAGCTTTCAATGTATCATATTTCAAAACATATACAACAATCAAGTAGTACACAGGGAACACACATCGACAATAGATTCAAATAGTAGATCTAGTGATTGCTGGCCTCGCCACGCTCTGCTATTGTTTTCGAACCTAATCCATAATAACACTATATTACTAATGGGTAACAAAATTAATTTTTGAAATCATAAAATTTACGGGTCTTACGAGTGAATACTGGCACATGCGGCTTAACTGATCTAGAGGAGCTGGGTCGAGCTGTCGAACGGTCAGGAGCGTCTCTTGTACCTTCAAATATTACTAATTTATCAGTCTCAAGTCTTACTCAACCATTCAAAGCTTAAACTCTTTAGTACATAAGCATTTTTTGGGTTTAACTATCAATTTGGAAGCTTTCGAGTCTGAATTTGATCAAACGGAGTGCGGAATCGGAATCAGGGTGTCGAAAAACATAAAGTATGACTTTTCGAAAATTCAAATTCTTGGTCAAAATATAAGTCATCAGGTTTGACTGATGATTTGGAGACCTTCCGGTTCGAATTTGGCAAAACAGACTTCGGAAACGGATTCGGCACGTCGAAAAATGTCAGAATAGGTATACTCGAACAAAATCAAAGGTCGTTTAATGGTCGTTTAAAGTCGGGCAAAGGGGTTCAATAGTCTACATTAGAAAATTACAAAAATATCACCTTTATTAAAAATAATTACCAAATTATCACCGTTAAACAAATAATTCCCAAAATGTTATCTTTTAAAAATAATTACCAGAACGTCACTATTTTTAAAAAATTCCCAAAATGTCACCTTTTTCAAAATAATTCCCAAAATGTCACATTTTTTAAAATAATTCCCAAAATATCACCGGGTCGGGTCGGGTCATCGGGTCGGGTCAGGTCAGACCAGTTCGGACCGGTTCAGACTGGTTTAGACCGGTCTAGACCGGTCAACATATATAAACCCCCATTTCGAATCTTCTCCACGCGTAGGGGCAGCGCGTGAGATTGCCTCCGGTCTCCAAAAATTCCTGCAAAATTTTCTAAAAATTCTTTTAAGTGATTTTGAGTCACTTACCAACCTCGATTCAAATTTTTGAATGGTGGAAAGCTCGATTTCACTTCGATCGGAACTTTGACCGCTCCACCTCCCTCACGCGTCGCCGCCTACGGAGACAAGGAGGACACCGTCGGACTCGGAACGACACAAGGAACACGATGGTGCGGGAGGTGTCGAAAACCGATCAACGATCGGAGATGAATTTAAGATTTTCCCGGCGGTGGTGCTAATAAAACGTCGAGACTTTGACTCGAAATTCACGTTGTTTGGCAGCGTTTCGCTATAATTGGTTTACTGGGTTTTGATCACGGGTCGGAGATAAACACGATGGTGGTTTCAATTTTTACGATTGGAGGTCAGACGGCGTCGGAATCAGGCTTGAAAATAGATGTACGAGAGGTGGAAATTTGAGTAATTGCTTGTGTTTTCTGATTTTGAAATCAGAAAACATGTTTGGTTTATAATCAAACCTGCTGACACTTCTTGGAGGAATTCAGGGCTTGGTCCCTGAATTTATTTCAACTTCTAAAATAGCCTATAAATTTTTATAAATTTTAATTTAGTCACTAAATTTCACCAAATTACACCGATTTAAATTGTTTTTTTTCAGGTTGTTACAATTCTCCTCCTCTACAAGAAATTTCGTCCTTGAAATTTTACCTTATGAGAATAGTTGAGGAAACTGAGTCTCTATAGACTCCAATGTCTCCCAAGTAGCTTCAG